CAGGAACAGCTTCACAGCAGCCATGACAAAGAGAGTTTACTCTTTCCTGGCTGAACCCAGCACACATTTGCTGCATGGGCTCTCTGGCTGAAGTTGACATTAACAGCCGTTGGCCACCTGATGGACTTCTGCAAAGGCTGATGGCCCAAGCAGTCTCCAAACACAAAAGGCAGCCACACAACTGCAAGAGTCAGCAGCAACAAGCAGAACAGCCACGGATGCCCAGCTCCCCTCTCTAGACCTCTTACCTCCACAGACCTTCCCATCAGACACCCCTATAGCTGGGCAGCCCCAAAGTCAACCGCAAACTCACTCCAGTCTCGCTATTGTGGTGCTTCAAACCCGCCAGGCAGCTGGAACTGTTCGTTCCATAGAGAAAAGGTTTTTAGCAGAGATTTAACCTTTAAAGATACACTTCTGCATTCTCACCACTGAAAGGAACACAGACCAGTTAGCTATGACGGGATCTTCTGCTCTCATCGCCGTGATTACAAAAACAAGTCCCGGTTTTGCTGCAGCCACGGGCGGGAGTAACGCGTCACCTACCGTGATCTTATTTTCCGTGCTGATGGGGGGGGCCGGATCCAGGCCAAGCTGAAGCCGTCGCTGCTTTTCGCAGTAAGCTTTCCAGGTTTCTTCATTGAATCCATAATTGAAGTAATCAGAAAGATCAGCCCCTGACAAAGGGAGCAGAAGTTACGGTAGGGATTCCAGCAGACTTGCCTCCTCCGACTGGCCTTTGACTGCTTCATGAAGTTAACGAAACACCTCTCGAGTGCAGCTTACGCCGCAGCGACGGCTGCGTCCTTCCACAGGAGAGGCACTACGGGCTGCACAGTGGCGGGACCATCTGGGGCGCAGAGTACAGCACGTACGGAGGCTACAAAGGGAGCTGCTGCCAACCCCTGATTCGCCACCCAGACTTTTCAGACTGGTTTCTTGCAATTGCCCAAATGAGCTGAGAGCTGGGGAAAGCACAGGAATGACCATTCCAGCTACCACCACAAAAATGGGATGGTGCAGCAGAACCTTCCCAGCAGAGCTACGCCAACACGTTCTGCTCGGAACAGTCAGTGCCTTTGCTGTTTTGAGAGGAGATTCCGGACTTGCCCAGTCTGTGAAACAGGGCTAAAGTGGGAGTTTTTTATCGATAGGTCTCAGACTCCACAAGTAATTACAGTTCAGTCATGATCCAAACTACAGCCTGCCAAGAGCGCTATCATGGACAGTCTGTGCAACCTGCCAGTTCAGACGAGCATTCCTGAAGAGAGGTGGCCACAAAGTGCTTGCCAAGGAAAGGCAGCAGCAGAGCGGCACAGCTGCCCCGGTAAGGGCTACCTCGCAAGAGGAAGCATTACAGAGTTTCTCCTACGCTGCTGAGGTCTCCCTCAAACATCCCCCTCACAAAGGCATTCCTAGACAGACCAATTCTACGACAAGGAGCTGATCCATCAGGGCTAAGCAAAACACCTTGACCAGGCTGAGCTTGGATCTACACAGC